TGAGTCGTACTTTTTAGAAGCATGGCTTCGTTTTAGATCCGGCCGGAATTTGTCTACATTAAGCTATATTTTCACTGGTTAAATCGTGTACTAGTGGACGATTTATTTATTTATTTATTTACTACTATTACTAGTGGACGATTAAGTATTTGTGTTTCTTACCAAACCGAATGATTTATAGGCATTGTAATAGCACTCATTGTTATAGCACCTATATAAAAATGAGCTGAAGACGAAAACTGTGACTCAAAATTACTGTTATACCATTAAAATGCTAAAACATAGCTTACCCTGGCAAAAGGTAGTTAAGAGAAACTCCATACTCTTCACCATCATTGATATATGGATCTAGTCCTGCCTTTTTGATCTTTTCAATACCTTTATATATGATTTCAGTGATAGCATCTACGTCGCTATTAATATCAACGGAATCTGCGAAAAATGTAAAATTTAAGTAGAGCCAGTACTTCCCACAGGTTGGCAAAGGCTTTCTCGCGACAGAAGATTTTAAAACATACTACTCAACTATTCGTTTTCGAAATATTTTTATCTATATGAGGAGATACATACCGTTGTGAGACAATTTATTTGGCAAGCCGCTGATGCCCACAGTTAAGATGGCAATCACCAAAATGCACTTGTTCATTGTGACTGACGTTTTCACACAACTGTAAAAAGCTTTAATTTAATCAAAAATAATTAAAATGTTATGACCCAAAAATGTGTGTATTATTTTTTTTTTCAAAATAATCATAATTAAAATTATTTGAAACCATTAATTCGTTCTTATTATATTAAATAGAATTTATTTCGGATATTAACAAATTATTGAATTTAAAAAAAAATGTTCACACTTTCTAAGAGATAAATATCATTACATATACTATTATGATGCAACAGACTTGATTTACATTGGGTGGACGTAACACATTTTAAATTATTATTGTAGTGAAATACTTACAGTCAAAACAAATCAAAATAATAAATCAGTTTGCAGCCAAATAAAACATACGACAATGCACACAGTTATCTCCGACGATTGAAGTCATTATTAAGAGCACAACTGTTTATAAAGTGGCATTTTAATTACAAAACTCTTCACGAAGTGCATTTTAATCACTTTATCAATATAAATACAATAAATAAGAAACTCATTGACTTGTTTTTGATCGAGCCTAATTTAAGATTCACTTCAAAGTATATTGGTACACTCAGAATAAAAATTTAAATGTGCTCTTCAACAAAAATATAAGAGTCTATAATTATATGTTCTATCTCTGCCTAAATCCTATTGTCTAGGTTTTTTTTGTTATGAATAAATATTTAAAATTTCAGTAAAACGGAACATGGAAATTTACATAAATTTATTAGAGATTCTAATTATATTGTTAAATTTTGTAACCGTTGGCGTAAATGGTAGTAATAATCATAATTGCATTCTTTCAAACTAATAGCGGAATCATTTTAAACAACAAAGGTGTAAAATAACTTTTTTGCACGAAAATGTACTTCACTGTTATTGATATGTTACGCCATCAATCAGGTGAGCCATGATACCTCATTGTAAGGGCTCTCCATTTTAATTCAATATACTCGAGCAACCTGAGCTCAATCCCAGATATGGAGGCACCAATGGAATTGGCAATTTTAAACGTTTACACGTACTCAGTGGTAAAGTAGTATCGTGAGGAAACCTGCATATTTTCGATATAATAAAAAAAAACATTTGAGAAGCTATGTGAAGTCCGCCAATCGACAGAGGGGTAGCGTGGTGGACTATGCCCTAATAGTCTAAGAGCTAGCAACGTTTTCGAGAGAGAATTTCAGGTAGGCCAGTTTTTAGATACGCTATCTCTCTCACTATCCCGGACGTCATACGGGCTATCTGGCTGGCGGTAGAGGTTACGTTCATCAGTGCGCATCGTACATTGTACTCTTCCAACACGCATAAGAATGCCTTTTTCATTAATTCAAAATTAGCGTTTGGCACAGTTTAAACATCAATAAAATATCTGGAAATAATAGATTCATGTTGCAAAATTCAATAAAAAAAAATTAAAAAAACCTTATAATTAGTTGAAAAATTGATATTTCACCTGTACAGGTACGATGCGCACTGATAAACGAAACTTCTAGCGCCCGTATGACATCTAGGAGAGTGAGAGAGATAGCATATCTAAAAACTGGCCTACCTGAAATTCTTGTTTTACGGACGTTACTATCTCTCGTACCTTAATACCCTCTGTGCGGACGGGACTGGTGGGTTGAAATTAAATTAAATTTACTAAAAATGTTTCAATTATTTATTATCTCGATATGTTCCTGATGCGTTTAATAATTAATCTGTTCCGAACTGTATCAATGAAACCCATATTTTATATACAAGCGTTTATTTCAAAATTAAACATAAATTTTGCAAACATTCAATAATGCAAACATAGCACTAAGTTTATTGATAACTTCAAATATGTTAATTAGTAAAATTTAAAAAAGATAACTTCACTGAAAACCATATCGCAATATAGCGTATAGGCCTTCAATTCGAATACTTGAATAATGTTAAAGTTTTAGGCCTTTCATGGTAAATTGTTGCTGCCAAGCGGGTAAAAAGCAAAAAATATATCATTAAGTGCATTTAAATCTTATAATCCATGTAATTCTCGACGCCAAAATTTGCCAAACATTATCAAGTTGTAGATTAATTTTATGAGTTCGTTTTTCGATAAACAACAAACCGAATTTTTTCTGTATTTGTAATTTATTTTCAAACCCCCATTAAGAAGAAGTAAATTTGAAAATTCAGATAAAGAACTTATGTGTACAAAATTAAAACTTGCTTGCAAATCTCTATAAAACAAGTAAATCTCCTTTATTTACGCACTTTTAGCTTACAAATTATTTTTGATAAGGAGAAAGCTATCTTCAGAACAGTTTAAAAATCCAATACCTAATTAAACGTTTACACAAGATAAGCGTGAATTGCGTAAGACAATTGCAAACTTAACGGGGAAATAACCTGGCAGAAAAGTATCATAGTGAATAAAATATACATCTCGTGTTCAAACTGGAACATTACATTTTCACATTTTGGCACTACACATACAAGGATTTACCCTTACCAAAATCCAAAGTAACGTAAGGAAGAAAACATAATGCGTGCTTCACGAATACCGCATCGCTACATCTACTAGTATCACCTATGTTAAAGTGGTATTACAATATATATAAAAGTGAATAAGAGGCACTCTATAGGTTTAAATACGCAGGTTCAAAAATAAGCGTAGTCCGAGAAGTGTCCGCGAAGTAAGACACCTTGAACAACGACGCCATTTCACGCCCACCAACATCAGCCAAAGAAGATTACGTTTTACATACAAATACAGCACAGTGTACACGTTACCTACTTACAGATTATGAACGACGAAAGCCCGAAATAGATCTACATCGAAATTACATTTAATTTCCTCTACATCTCATTAGGTATCGTCTTCCACAACAGGTTATGATTCTCGATATACAGTACTTAGTAGGCACCAGATTGGCCTGCCCAACTTATGCCCGTTTTCACCACCGACCCCTAACTTTAAGAGACACGTTAAGAAATTGAAATTGCAATTTACGCTTAATACTTTAGGTGACACTTAAGCGGTGGTGAAAACGAAATTAGCTCTTAATTTTTTTAGGTGTCCCTTAAGTAAGGGATCGACGGCGAAAATGGGCATTAGAGTTTTATAAAAGTTAAATAAAGTAAAGCGAAACAACAACGAGCACCTACTTTTAATTTAAACACTAGTTGTTCATAATTTATTTACAACATTGAAATAACTCTTGAATGTCCAAAATGCGGCTGTCTGAGGATCCTATTAACTTACAATTCAATACGCTGTACTAATAATTTTCATCTTAAATCTCGAATTGTAAAGATTCATCTAGTTAATTGTTTATAAATTACCAATATTTGAAAGCTGAACCGTTGGGCACTACGTTCGCTAAACTAGATGTATGTATCGACCCTAAATGTTAAGATAATTACTTGTATGATCTAACATACTCAGTATACTACTCTCTGTACAACTCTGACGGTAATGTATTCCGTTTTTCCTATTTTCTCGAATTACCATTGTTCTCAAATCTTGAATCTCTATCCAATTGAGGCGAATAGATGACTGAATGTTCCATCATTCCTGACTTTCTGCGAATCTTAATTGCTTTGCCTTCCCGTACCATTTAATTTACACCGAACCGTTTATCACGTACAACTTTCTAATATTGGTCCACTACAAAGTTGTGAAATGACCTAACTTACGTTATAACTTACACCTAAGGCTAGAATGAACTTTAACATTTCTATGCCTTGCGTGATATGTATTGCAATAGAGGCGCATTAAAGCTTACAATTTATTTTTCGCTCTCCTATATCCGCCATCTGTAATTTCATTCCATGAGTTTATAAAACCACGCTGAACAGTTATCAATAACATTTGAAAGAATACATACATATGTCTATCTACCTTTACGTTAAACCTCCGTCCCAGATCCGTTCGCAAATTTTTATCTCGAAAGATATGTGGAGACTTATCAACTATGAGAAAATTACGTCTACATAATTCTATAATTTGTTATTAACAAGTGATATGTTGTTGGAGACATCACTCCTTTTTAAATAGATTTTAATTTTAACATTATTTCATAAACAATAGTTATATATCACTTACAATTTAATTATGGAACTTAATTTCAAGTCTCTAGCTGAGTATTTACTGGACTTACAGCGCAATTTAACACTTCAGGTGGCTTATAACTAAAACTTTAAATAGTCTAAAAATTTTACATATAAAAATAACCTTAAAAATAATTCCGAAAGCTCAATCTACGGAAACAAAGCACAGATCTCGATTAATATTTAACACTTTAAAACCATAACACAAGCATATAACGTAATAATCACTAAAATATACAACACATAGATAGGTATTGTGACAATAATATTAATATTTTCATTTTGTGAACATCAAAAATATCGATGGTATATTAACTATTGCGACGAAACTAAAACTGAATGTTCCGAGGAAAACGCGAGGTGTAACAGCTGCGTTGGTGCAGTTCTTGGGAATCTCCGGTTTATCTGTAACAGTTTGAAGCCATATAAGGATACTTATCTTAATATAAGTTACACTTTAAACTTTAGCGATACACATAACACGACTAATTACTATAACACATTTAACGCAACAGACTGTAAGTTACTACACAGTTTTTACCAGTGTAGATCCAATATTATAATTTGCAATAAAATTATTAAGCCAACTCATTCGTAGAACTGATTACGGCCTGACAGAATACTAACATAAAATAAAAGAATACATACGTTTGCGTTTCACAGTTAGTGAGGGATATAAGAACCAGGAACCTACCTTCTTGCAGATAAGCAACACCTATTTACCTAGACATTTGCGTTGCGGCTAGATTTGCGTCACAAATTAGAAATATTGTCATGAAGTTTAAAAAGATGTTTACATTTGGAAATAAAATTTATCCATAGACATACTTTTTGATGTCGCAAAGTAATTATCAGATTTAATCACATTGAATATCGAAAAGTAATAGTGATTAACAGATTTATAATTGCCCATACTGTAAAAGTTTCCATGATTTATAGTTATTTCAAAAAATGCTCGGAATGATAATAAATTATTATCTTTTTTCACCTTGATAGCAGAGACGTTCAATAGAGTTAACTAAAAATCAGTATCCATACATAAATTATAGCATCATAATATTTTATTTTTAATAATTCCGTGACATTCTTTCGAAAAATTACCATCTTTCTTAATATTTTGACCATTAAAATAATTAACTTCAACGTTGAAAGATGTAAAAATAGTCTACAACACCGAATCCAACAAAGTTATGATAAGGTAACTAATAAAATCAGATAATTAAATTCACTTCAAACACCTGCACCGTTTTGATATCCGTTAATCGGTACATATCCTAAATAATAATACCTATCTAGAAGTATTTGAACACCTGCTGATTAAATACATTGCTTTTCAGAAGATTCCTAGAATCATAAATGACATGGAAATTGTACCTTTTTTTAATTGAGAAAACCGCTGCCCATGGACATCTGAAGCAACACACGTAAGGTTGCAAGTGGGTTGGTACATTTTAATGAAGGGCCCACTTCATCAGCCCAGTTACCTCACTCGCCAAACGAAACAAAGAAGTGACACTTCCAGTTCACGCTGGTCGTTTCACGATGCTTCCCCAGACAGGCTTTCACATTCATGAGACAGAAAAAACTCCTGCGCGGCCTCGCCGCAATTCTTCTAAATTTGCACAGTATTGGTAAAAATTTAAAAGCCCTATATGACTTTCAGATTTCAGAAATACATAATACTATTTTTATCACTTACTAGTGGCAGCCATGAGTTGAGGTAAGTATTTCTGCCAAAAAGCACATTGTTTTACCCGCAACCCGTGCCCTACGGCGCTGGAATTAATAGCAAGCGACAGATACTCTCGCCCTGTAGCCGTATGCAATGGCCAATGTACCTTTGTCATATCATTATTGGGATTGATTGAGGGATTACTGAAAAAAATTACAAACCATACAAATCAAATTCATCTATTGCAGCTAAGAAGTATCTCACACAACTTTACTAACTATGAGATTTATATTAAAATACGTACCCAGTTCTTGCAAAATTAGCCCAATATCGCATCAAACGTTTGCTCAAATCTATTTCCTCGGGTGAATAATTTTTACCCGGATTCAAAGGTTCTCCAAAAACGTAGTTTATTTCGTCTGCATGCATCACACCCGTCCACGATGGCCATGGGTTATTCTTACTACGATGTTTATAATAGTAGGTATAAACGTTGTTGCCAGTTTCTGCATAACGATGAGCAAATTCGTTAACTCCACAAGTGAAATGATAGTCTCCTACCATTTTATCTAATGCGTTGCGATTTTTCACAGGATCGTCGGGATTCAACCAATCCGTGTACTCAAATACGATTGCTTGCCTTGCTACATCGTTTACGTAAGGATTTAATTCCCTTACAGCTTGCAAATATTGCTCCCTTGTAATACCTACGTTCTCTTCCTTGGGAAACAGTTCGGTGAGATAATACAATATAAAGTAATAACCTTCTTCTGTATTTGAACCCATAAGAATGTTTGTCTTTTTGAAATTCTGGTGAACTAACGATTTTATAGGCATCTCATCCAAAAAGGAACCATCTATTATTGGAACAAAAGGAAACTCACAAATGCCTAATGTACCCCATTCGTTATTCACTAGTTCATCGGCGCTTTTCTTTCTTAAGCAATCAATCATAGGTCCCATGTCTGTTCTCGAATTTGGACAATGAACAGCTTCAGCTAAACGTATACCGCGAAGTATACTTTCTTCACGAGAAATTATCGCCCAAGGAGCTGTTGCTGCCCCTGACTGCATTATCGCTTGGGAAAATAAATTCCTTGAGAGAGGCGATAACAAATGCAGGGATACCGACACAGCACCAGCTGATTCTCCGAATAAAGTTATATTATGAGGATTGCCGCCAAAATATGCTATGTTATCTTTTACCCATTGCAATGCCATAATTTGATCAAATAATCCAGCATTCCCGGGAACATCGGGCGTATCAAAAAATAAGAAGCCAAGTGATGCCACTCTATACTGCATGGATACATAAACAATTTTTTCTTCGGAAACGAGAATTTTTGGGTCGTAAACGTCTAAAGTAGCGGTTCCAGAATAGAACCCTCCACCGAATACCCATAACATTACTGCAGCATTTTTAGGCCGAGGTCTTGGTGTAACTATATTTATATAGAGACAGTCTTCCTGCATATCCGTGTTGGGATTCCACATCATTGCTCCTGGGAAATCACCGAACACTGTATCTACTATTTGGACGCATGAATGTGGCAGTGTTGTTGTATTAAGTATTTCTTCACCCCAACTTTCAACAGGTCTCGGGTGTCGAAATCTGAGGTCTCCTAATGGTTTTTGAGCGTAAGGTATTCCGAACCAAGCATCGACTTGCTTTCCTGTCGCTGCAGTGAGCGTTATTCCCCTAACTTTACCCTTCCTTGTTCTTACTATTAGAGGATCCTCATCTTCAGGACCTAATTGGGGCTCATCGGCCATGAACTCTTCAGCTCGTTCATGATTCGAGTAAAATCTATCATCGTATCTTGCACGTTTTGAAGATGATTCCGCTTCCTCGAATTTGGCTCGTTTAGACGAGGTTTCATGTTCGTCGAGACGCGGGAGAATAGTGTCTAATTCCGGATTATATCGGACTGCCTCGCCATGTCCTCTATATGGTTGTGGTGGAGCTGGTACTGGGAAGTGCGGTGGATGGTCAGGCGCATGGTGCCGAGCACGATGTTCGTGCGGCCCGGCCCCTATACGTGCCACCAGCGCGGCCAGCGTTGCAAATAACACAAGCATGCCGTCGCCGCACCCGGTCGAATGATCACCACCTGAAATTTGAAAACTTTACTTATAACAATCAGTTTAACCATAAATCTTTTCATTTTACCTTAAATTAAACGTATTTCAATGCTACTTTGCAGTAAAGATATTTCAATACAGTTAAGAAAAAAGAGTAATTATTCATGTACCTACTCATGTTACCACCAAAAAGAAGAAATATTAAAAGTCATGTTACTACGACTAAATACTCTGATCAAAGTACATAAAAATTATTACTATTTATGTAAATTAAATCAATTTATAATTCTTCGTAGTAGTAATTCTAGGAATAATATAATAAATTCTAAAGTATGGGATAAATCTAAACATTCTTCATTAGTTTTAGAGTCAATGTCTCAAAGTCATTCAATGCTTTTTGCAAAGATATGTAGATGAAATGTGAGTGGTGAATCTATTTTTACATCTTTGAGCCTCCGAGTAATGCTCCTCAGGGACGTAGAATACCATCCGCTCCTACTCTCTAACAGTTTATTCAAGATTATTATTCTGAGCTTAATTTTGCAAAAAATGGCAGTGAGACCTCCTTTTTCTAGATTTGAATTGTTGAATAGTTTTTCCTAACTATAGTTTCAATAGCCATATAACAAACTTTTCTTAAAATGCATAAATGAAATAATTTTTTGTTGCGCTGGCTTTATTACTTGCGTAATTTTTTTTAAATCGTCTTAAGTCGTTAGCTATCATAGCCTAGTATTTTATTATATCCTTTAATTCCGTTTAAATACCTAGAAGGCACTAACTTTGCCTTAGTGTATTATTTGGACTCCTATACTTGCAACTATATGTGCTTATAATCTCAGTAAATCGAGTTTTTATACTAATGTTGATGCTGGTTACGTTTTTAATATGAGCAGGATATGAACTATTCACTTCTCGCCATTTATATCACGGATTGTTTTTGTGCTAACACCAAGATTAAACTAATGTGCGAAATATCTCAAACAATTTAATTTTAAACTATAATTTATTCCTGAGAGATTACACTGCTCCTTGCTTTATGAAAAGGATGACAAGTTACTGTTTCAATTTGAATATCGTTGCAAGTAAAATTTGAAGCGGTGGTAATGAAAGAAATAATGTTTATTTGGTACATGAATACAATAATTTCGTTAGAAAAAAAGAAAAGAAAGAATCCTAAAACTTTCACAAAAAAACTTCACGAAAGCTGATTTACAGTGTGACCGAGATAAGGAGAAAGATGGCGATACCATTAGCTTACACAAAAATTTTACAAACCTAAGTAACAGATCTTAAAACTATCAAATAATAACAAAAACAACAAGGTAAAATGTTTAAAACTTTTTTAACACCCAGTAACTAACAACACTCAAGTTTATCAAAATCAGATTAACTAGGCATAGTTATAACAATCATAATAAAAAAACAAACAAAGGTACACGTATCTATGTGTGTGTGTATGTGCGTGTGCATTTGCGTGTGCGTGTGCGTGTGTGTGCGAACGTGTTTGCGGGCGCGCGCGCGTTTGTGTGAGTGTGTGTGTGTGTGCGTGTGTATGTGAGACAAGCAGAGAAAATGATGAGTGACAAAACGAAGACTAAGTTCCAGACTTTTGTGAGGAGAGCAAAAAGATTTTAAAATTTAAATTTAATGAATTTATGGATTTCGAGTTTCTAATCGGAGGGAATATCAATCCTGCACTTAATAGCGGAAACACGAAAACTACCACGAAAAGCCGCAGTGTTATAAGGAGTGTAAATAAGTCACAATGCTGCTCTAACGCAATACGAATATTTCAATACAGCAATACGAATACGATGGTTCGACAGTTCTAACCACTCCGAAGAGCAGGGAGGCCAGTTGAAGCTACCGTCTGGTGGACATGTTCATCAAGTCGCGTCGGTTTAGGAATGGAGTGACATGAGATCGCAATGGTCTTAAGAAACAGAAACGTTCGCAAGCGTGTTTTATTCGTTGTACCATTTTTTTAGAGCTTGCAATTATGTATTCACCAGAAACTAAGTCACCATACAACAATTTTGACAAGATGAGAATTTCTCACTAATGCGTATATCCACAGTTAGGTACTCGCGATTTTGTATAAGACTTTAATTACTACTATAGAAACAGTTACGTTATATTCATTAAGTAATATTTTTAACAGAAATCCTATGACCCCTTATGATAGCTAACGGCGCCTGTCAGTTTTTTTAGGATTTCCATAAAAGAAAAATGTGCACAACACTGATTATAAAGATGATCACTCATCAATTCTGAGAATATTCAATCGTACGATGCTAGAGAGCCAACGGCTCCCGTCAGTTTTTTTAGGATAGTGTGGAGTTAGTTACTCTTTCACGCAAATACTACTGAATGGATTTTAATGAAACTTTACAATAATATAGCTTATACATCAGAATAAGACATAGGATATAATTTATATACATATTGTGCGCGCTACATACATACTAATAATACAATTTATTAGTTAGATATATGTATTTAACTAATAAAATGAGAAACAAAAATGAAAAAAGGCGTATCGCAAAATCAAATAGTACGTTCTTGTTCACTTTTATAAAGTTACCATGTACCGTTTTTGTGGTAACGTGATTACGTCCCTCGTCTACACAACTCTCAAAATGCTTTTAGCTACATAGCAACTACATTCACGGAATCATCTTTTCTGTAATCGTACTGCTAGTCGTATTAACAACATAGGCAGCATGAATAAGCAGAAGTTAAATTAAAAATATATATATAAATTGTTATGATATGATGTTAGGATAACTGATAACAGTAAGTTAATTTATCTTTACGGTTCATTTAAAAAAACATACGGTAAATTATCAACTACAAGAAATAATTGCTATCATAATCACTTGTCAACTGTACAAATGACTATTAATGTAATTAAAAGGATGTTAAAAAATTTATTAATAAACAATTTTCACGAGGGGTGACCTCGTGAAACTAAACGAGAACTAAATAAAAGTTGTAGTCAATTATTATATAATAGATTTCATAGTGAAAAGCATGGGAGCTGTTGGTTCATTCTATATTTACAAATGTAATATTATATGAAGAATAGAATAAAATTTACAAGATTTTGTCGGCTACGTGCTATTGGCGAAATATATATTTAAATAGACAAATAAAATAATGTTTATGTTTTTATAAAAAAATCATTTACAAATTTATTTTAAATAATGCATAGTAATGCCATCTATTGACAATTTGTTGAAAAATAGTGAAGTATACTGAAAAAAGTTACTATTTAAAATACTATACCTATTTACACATTATTATATTGCAACTCGGTGCCTGATCACGATACTGTGAGACAATTTCGCACAAGTCATCAAGTCTTAACATAAATCCTCAAAAAACTGTAAGCCTACAGCAAGTGCACTTTTCTGGCATAATAGAAACTTACACTACTCCTGTAAGTAAAATGTGTTAAATATTAAACATTTATTTAACATAATTTGTACAAAATATCATCTCCTTTTTTTGGTAACTATGTTGTATTTCGTCACTATTTTTGTAATTAGTCCACTAGCACTATGAGAAGTTCGGAAGCTTTGTTACCTACTGTATTCTTTTGTATTTCTGTAAGTGATTTTTCTTTTGTAAATTAAACCAAGACATAATGGTGTCACTTTACAAACGATCAACATCTTGAAATGTGTCTATTGTCAATATTTTTTTTGATGTGAAAAGTTGACAAGCGAGCAAGCGTTTCATCTGATCATCTGATGCTATGTGATAACTGCCAATCATCATTACCTGTTGGATTTGCAGATGCGCTGACAGAAATTAAAAAAGTGGACCCCGATTCATATTTTTTTAAAATTAAAAAACTGGCCTGCACTTGACTGCCATCCCATCTAATAGTTGCCATGCAGCCGTTGATGGTAGGCGCGCTAGCTCAGTAAAAAAAATTCTCGTCAAACGTATAACGCCATTATGTTTTTAACTGTTTGTTTACAAAGAATAATTATATTAATATGATATCAAATAATTATTTTAATAACTGCCAATACTTATTATTTATCAACATCTAGTAACACGAGCAAATTATTCAAATCACTTGTTTACAGTTATGTGGTTATAAAAGAGATTGATTGTCACTTATATAAATTAATAATCAATCATTGCGTTGTTTTCTTCTCGACTCACGTTTATTATACAAGTAAGATAATGGAGATATAATTTAGGGATTTTTATTTATCAAACAAATTATGTACTCTTTAAGTCCGTCGAAAACAATAAATTAACTTTATTGTTTAATTAAGAATATAAACTAATATTGCTTGAAATAAAAAAAGGATTTTTATCAATACTTTATTTTCTAGCGAAAAGTCACTCAAACAAAATTGTGCCTCCTCGCTCCTATGAACTTTGTAGCGGCTAGCCTATAAATTATTGTTTCCAATTTCTTCTCAATAAAATTTTGAGACCTTTGTGTCCTCCCGAATATTTTTGAGAGTTCTCTTTAAGAGAAGGGCAAAGTAAATATAATGAAGTCTGTCATGAAACACTAAACTTTATATCATGACCATTAATGAAACGTTGCTCATTGGATATTGAGACCTAAGACCGAGCTGCTACATAGTAATGGAGGAGGTATTTATTTAGCCATGACAGCTCATTGTCTGGGCTTGATACCTGCATACTTTCGAAATACTAATAAAAAAATGTTTCGAAGATATGTAAAGTGGGGCCGCATGGTGGACTATTCCCTATTATTTAGCAGTAAACTGATTGTAAGAAATAATAACGATGGAGACAGATGTTTTCCCTAGCCTTTATATTATAGCCTTTTATTTTATGACACAATGTTTCGTACCTTGAATACCCTTAATTCAAACACCCCCTTCTCCCCTCGACTAACTGTGACGTAGCGTAGTAACAACAGCACAAGTATAACAAAGCCTTCATCCCGAAGCATGGTGACGTGCCTGTAGTTGCTTCCGACAAATGAAACGACATTATGTTGTACAATCTACGAACCGGGTATTGACTT